CCTTCCTCTTCGAAGCCAGGATTAGTCTTTGATTTCAAAAGCCTGTAAAAGCACGTCACAATATTAGTCCAGAGGCTCTTGCAGACCATTCATTCATACCCACATCTGCCTTTTTTCAAATCGACGTGGAAGTGAGACTCCTAGGGAGTTAGGAAGGGCTCCTAACGCTTCACAGGAGACTACTATCAATCAAGCTGCAAAAACCTGTCAGAAGACCACCACAGTTCTCTCCCTAGCATGCACGATGGCCTCCCAGACCACCAGGGGTTTGCAGACGACAGCTGGAGAGCCACCTCAAGAAGCCCTGCAGCAGCTTTCCACCTGATCTGCAAGCACTCCCAGAGAGAAGGCTTCACCTAAGGGGCAGCAAGCCTGGCTGCTTTTCCTCCACCTCTCCATGCAGCATCTGTGCTCTGCAATGAATGCCACGATGCAAATTACTCGTCAGCTGCACTGAACCACAGCAAAAAGTGCTGTGATTATCACTATTGCTTCTACCATAGCTTGGGGAAGCAACCTTGAAAAGCCAATGGGAATGCCAGGGGAAGGGGAAATTCTTTCCTAATTCAATAAACGTGCTGTTAAGTGCTTTACACCCACAGGTAACCCCAGAATGTCACCTTACACCATGACCAGCATAATGGGGAAAAGCAGCTGGTCAGCTCAGACTTAGTCCCAATTTGCAGTTTCACTACTTAAAGCAAAGCTTTTAAGTTTAAAGAGAACTGGTTTACATCATATTTCTATCTAACATTTTTTTCATGTGTCACAGATACCAAGCTCTTCATATACTAAAGAAATTACTTAGGATTGTATTCACTTGCAATGCAATGAGCAACTGCAAAGTTTATACTGACAAGGAAACTACCTCCAGTAAGTCTTTTCAGTTTATCCAAAGTACCGTAAGTACAGCCTTGTAAAGAAACGAAACTCATTCTAATACTGAAGGCATTCTTAACAAAGACCTATTTGATCAAATCTGGAAGATGGTTTCAACAGTACGTAAGTGATGTTTTTAAGCAGACTATCTACAACATATCTAGCTATTTGTACAATTGAGGTCTTTAAGACTGGCTCCCCAGCTTTGCCCTAAGGAAAAGGCATCTCGTTTTAAAAGCACAGAAGAAAAAAAAATGTAAGAGGACAAGAGAACTCTATCCCTCCTTCCTTCCAAATGGATCAGTCTCCTTGGCTGCAGGCTGTGTAAATTCACTGCTAAAAAGACGAAAAATACCCTAAAACACACAAAATACTTAAAACTAGTCTGCTCATTTGCAGGACAAATTCTTCACACTTTTGGAAGTGGTCCACTGCAACTGATCCCAAACAGGCAGTGGCCACCTGCATGCTCATGCATCTTCTGCTGACCACAGACGCTGCATCTGTGAGGTCCTTCCTCTGAAGATCTCTGAATTCTGCAAGTAGACATTCAGGAAAAGCAACACTGCACAATAACTTCGACAATTTATCCCCTTTTCTACCCCAGGCTAGAGGCGCAGTAATATTCTGGTGCTGCAAAAAGAGAAAGCAGCATGAACAGGTTTTATCGAACAGATGATAATATTCCCAAGCGAGATGTGGGTTGTAGGGGGGTTGTCTTGTTTTCCTTTTACAAGCAAGTAAAATTCAGAAGCACCAATTATAGATGATACATTTCTGAAAGGGGAAAATGTTTCTTTTCTTCAAATTAATCCTTACTTTATGCAAAAAGGAGAAAATTCATCTTCTTAAAAACACACCTTGCTGCTGACTGAATGCCATTCTACTCCATTCACTCTGAAAATGGTTTCTTAGAAATGCTCTACACATTTGAATTCCATACTTGAGATGCTGCCACAGGACAGAGCATGCATAGGCCTCGGGTATTTTACATCTCTTTGCCACCCTTCTACATCAGAAAAGAACAACTATCATGGATCAAACTTTGCTTGGTTTGTGGCAAAGAGAAAAACATTTCAGCTTCCTACAAACACAATGCAATGATTTTATCTCAAGTATAAATGCAACTCCAGGGATAAAGGCTGCTCACTGTCTACTGCCACACAGCAATGAATTCATTCATCATGAGGGCAACAATTCAGTCGCTTTACCATGACCACGATGGGCTAAGGTTTTAAGCGGAATACCCCCAGACATGACTGAGCATTTTCGTTTTCCTTAAGCTGTTTTTCAACACATTTGTTTCAGCCATGCCTGAGACTTGGAGCAACACCCCACAAACCCATACATAACTTGTTTTTCCAGAGCAATACTTGGTATTTCTTCTCTTAGAAGAATTTGCAGCAAACTTCCTATAGGTAATAATGATAAAAAATAGACACAACAATGGTTTGCCCAAGTCCATCAGCCTGACTGAAACTTTCAACAATCCTTTTTTTAAAGCTCATCAAGATACACAGTATTATAGGCAGGCTATATATATCAAGGCAGATAGGTAAAGGCACTTATACGCCAGCTGATAAGCCACTTACAAGGTGAGTAGTATTTGCTTGCACTTACAAACATGCCAAAACATCTTTCTGCTTTTTGCCAAACACCTTTTAATTACCATTCTGACGATAAAAATATGTAAGATACACATTTCTAGCTCAGGTACGTGCTGCAAGGCTGAAAAGACACCTCCACAGTTCAGCCAAATTGAGTAAGTGCAGGATCCCAAGTGAGTAGCAATGGGGTGACTGCTGCCCAGAGCTAATGCTGCTTCTTGTCCAAGGTCACTTTTTCGCTCCCCTAACCCCAGAAGTCTCTCCTACCCTTCGCCCACCACACACATATCCAGCCTGGCCTGAGTTTTCCAGCATGAGACAGGAATCCCCATGGCTCAAATGCTGCTAGAAGTCATCTGACCAAGAGACATCACTGCCTATCTCACGTTATGCCCGCTCAGCACAAGCACAGCTCTCCTTTGATGTCTAGCTGTTTGTTTTTCAGCAGGCATACCGCTGAGCTATTGAACATACTCAAAATGTAGCCCAAGAGGTGAGGATTCCGTAAATCCTGAAGAGTTCGCAGCACCTTAAAGCAACCTCCTATCATCTGGGGAAAATTGAGTCAGGGCACAATGAACTCTGGCATCAGGCTGCCCAGGCTGATCACCAGCATCAGCCTGCGGTGGTCTCACACTGATGGGCAGCTGAGCTCCACCACACTACTCTCTCACTCCCCTCCTCAAAGGACCAGGGGAGAAAACATGATGGAAGAGGGCTGAAGGGTTGAGGCACGGACAGGGAGATACGTTGGCAGCTCCCGTCAGGGACAGAGCCAGGCTGCAGCTCCGGCCCGGGGCCTGCTCCTGTGGGGGCTCTCCGTGGGATGCAGCCTCCTCCAGGCCACATCCCCCTGCCCCACCGGGGGCTCCTCCACCCATGGGGGGGCTGCAGCGTGGAGATCTGCTCCATGTGGGACCCATGGGCTGCAGGGGGACAGCCTGCTCCACCGGGGGCCTCTCTCCTGCCCTCCTTCACAAACCCCGCAGTCTGGAGCTGGCTCTGCTCTCACACAGGACACTGAGGCCTCCCTGCTGCCCCACATAAACACAGTGCACAGCCTTTTTCCTGAAATATTGTTACAGAAAACACAAAACACTACAAGCAACAATGAAACAATGAAACCAAGTCTAAAACCCATCCCACATTCATGCTACTGGCCATTGACCTACTCGCAGAAGAGAGGCAGGGGATTCCTCTCACGCACCTGAGCAGGCCCACAACATTCAATCTAGCACATGGATATAAAACGTGCAGGAAAACCTTTAAGTTGACCCACGTTACCAGGGAAGTCTTAAAATGAGAATCTCTCTCTGGGTTAGGAAAAATATAACCTCCCTTACTTGACAGACAAGTTTTGGAGCGCATGGAGTGAAGAGAGATTTCTCAGAATCTGAAGCCAAGCACTCGTACCTGGTAATGATGATCTCTTCCTTTTTCCAGCACAATAGCTCTTAACTCCTTACAAGTTTCCTTCTCCAGATACACATATAAGTCTACAAAAATGTAGGTTAGGTCACAGCCCATTTCTCCCCTCCCCAATCTACTGAAGTTGCTTTGAATAAGCTTCGTTTACATTTTTCCAACTTGCATTACCAGCAGCACTTAGATCTTCTGCAAGATCTCTTCCTTAATATAAAAGGACCTAAAGGCATTTTGGAAGGCAACCGAGCAGAGAAAGCTGGGCTTTTGGAAAACTTGAGCTCCTACCTGGAAAGTAGATAATGTTTCACGTATCAAATCGTGCCTAGTACAAATATCTCTGTTTGCACCTGGAAACAAAACACTTCTGGAAGAGAGAAGGTGGAAATACAAAAGAAAGCAGCAGACTGCTTTCCACAGCTTTTCGTGTATTTTGATGCAAACCGTTGTTTCCATTGTTTGAAGTGCTGTAACTGTGAGCCAAAAGATTTCCCTCCTCTGCCCCACGAGAAGCAGCCAGCCTCCAGGACGAACGCTGGCTGCTTTGCTTGCTTCATACCAGAAGGACAAGACGCAGGACACAGCATAGCGGGATCATTAGGAGAGGGAAGAACAGCAAATAGCCAAGAGCCCAGCATGATATGCTTTGATCAGCCTGTGTTTGGCTCTGACTTTTTGCTCATTTCAACACAAGGAGATTTTTCCTTAATAAGAGCAGCAACTCAAAAAAACGACTTTGTTTTGCAGTTCTCCTTTTAGGCTGTGAAAACACTCGTAAGGTGCTGTTTTGTTCTGCTGTCCTCTCCTTTCTAAGCAAAAACAAGCAGCTCCAACCAGGCTAGCCTCTGTTTAGCCCCCTGCCAAGGGTGGGGGCTGAGATATTTAAGCCTCCCAAGACTGCTGTGCTCTATTCTCCCTCCACTCCCAAATCCCACTCGCCCAGCCTGGGAAAGTAGATGTGTGCAAGTTCTGACACACTTTGTTCCAGCATTTTGCATTTGCATTCTGCTCTCCCACTTGTAAGATAGATCTGCAGAATATTTTACTGCATTCCCAGAATAGGAACAACATTTAATAAAAGTTTCTTCTTACCAGAGCTAGGCATGTGGTTCACTCTAGGTGGATTCAACAGCTCTACTGGCTGGTCTCTGCCAGAAAGCCCATCTGGAAAGGGAAAAAAAAATATCACATCAACTCTTTGGTTAGCTGAGCTATTTTAGGCATTCCAAGCAGAAAAAAAAAAAATCACTAACCAATTATCAATGCAAACCAGAAACACACAAGTAGCACAAATCAATAGAAACAAGAACATTAACAGGACAGCAGCTGCTTACTCTAAAGCAGAAAATAAAAGATACTGTAGCCCAAATTGTGCTCGGGTTTTCCTGGTCTTTAAATCCAACTGGTACTGATCCCAATCCAAGAAAATAGGCACATCAGCTTATAAACCGTACCATACAATACCTAAACAGCAATTCATTCCTTCTTCAGAAGAACTGAGCAGAGCTAAGGCAGAAACACATCCCTGTGAAGCGAAGTTGAAGAATGGCTGTAATATGCCAAGGCAACGCTAAGGAAAACTGACAAATCACTGCAGGAGATTAAAATGCATAGACATGCATAACAAGCCCCATTTTGCATAAGTTTGGATTTCAGAAAGGCATTAAAAACATACTTTGTAAATGATATGCAGAAATCCATCTTGCTGAAGCAGTTCTCTATTTAAAATATTTCAAAGATTATATCTTGCATTCAAGTAGAGTTAAAACAGAAGAACATGATACCTACTGTTGTAGACTGCCAGACCAGATTTTCTAGTCATCCATTTCCCTCCCATCCTTTCCCCCAATAAAAGCCGAAGCAAAAATAATACTAAATTCAAGTGAGTGACATCTCACTATGGTATGTTTTCCGTACTTAGGTTATGAAGACTTGACTACAGAAAACTTCATCTCAAACCCATTTGTTCCACTGTAAATACCCACACCTTTGGCAGTTCTGTCTCACTTCTTCTCTCAAGTGCTGCTGTGTTCTGCGCTGCAGCACAGATACAATCAAGCCAAACCCTGTCTGGAGACATCAAAGAATCCATCCCATCTCTCAGTCAAAGCAAAGGACAGTTCAGTACTATAAAAGTGGTACAAAGTCAGTGGAATGTTTAAAAAAAAATAAATCACACTTTTCTTCTCCCTGTTTTCTCCATTTCAGGTCCCTGGAAAGAAAGCATGGTTGGGTCTTCTCCATCACATGCATGGCTTTGCCTCCACTGACCATATGCAAGCATCAGTGCAGCCTCAGGCAGTACGTCAATAAACTGAACGACAACCATGCTGAGTTTTCCTTCTCAAGCAAGTTAATTATTGTCCTGCAGATGAAACAGGTTGTTGACATTATACATTGTTTGCTTTCGGATTGTTCCTGCTAGAGCCAAACACCCCTGCTTTAAGCAACATTCAGCCATCGATATCCCCGAATTCACAACCCAGTAGTCACTGCAGATCAAAGACTGCAAACAGAGAGCAGAAAAATAGGGGCTACAGAAAAAGAGGCTGCGGCTCAGCCAGGGCACACATCCAAGAAGAGGGAGCACACAGGGTGAGCGCAGCCCCAGGAGCCTGTGCCTTGTCCTGGGTGCGGAGGATTTTGTGCTAAGTCTAAACACTCAAGCAAAACCAAACCAGGCAAGACCGAGGTTCTCTATTTGCTGCATTAACTGATAAAAAGTCTCTGCTCGTAAGAAAAAAAGAAAGAGGCAGTTTGTCAGGAGATCTTTGCAGAAAACACCTCTTCTCCTAGGCTACAAGTATGGATAAGAGAGGTTAAAATGAGGTTTAAACACTCTAGCTGGCACATCGCTTGCCCCCTCTTGAGGGATGAGCAAGCTCACACCCAGAGCACGCCAAGAGCACGCAGCCGGCAGTGTCAACACAGCAACACCCCGCTGCCAGCACGAGCTGGTCACCCTGGGGAGGTGAAGGCTGGCTTACCTGCTTTCTAGCAATCTAGGAGGGTTGTTTTTATGTTTATATTGAAGTGCTTGCAAACAAATCCACATTTTGCTCCATTATTACTCCCTGTTAGTGCACACTCTCACTACAAGGCACAACAGCAGTGAAGAAGCCAGCACTCTGGAGATACTTCAGTCTCGTTTTATACAGATGCTGTGCCTCGCTGTAGAAATAGCACACGTTCAAGAGAAGCCTACGTTCTGCAACCCAACTTCTGCTCAGGACCACAGCGGCTGCCAAGTGTCTCAGGATCAAAACCCTGCAGCATGCACACACTGAGCTCAGCCGGTAGCTGACCGTCCATACGATGCCCATAAACCTGAGCCCAAAACCAAAGCCTCAAAGAACAGAACACAAACCTCACCTCAGAGCAGATAGAGGCTCCTATTGCCTCCTCAGCTTCCTACAGTTAGATGAAGGTGCTACAAAACCAAGCAAGTAATTTAATTTCAAGACACCAGGTGATCAATTTGTTCAGAAAAATAACCCTGCCTTTAACAAAACGTCATATCTACTGCCGGCACAATGCTGACCAAAAAAAACCACAAACCAAAACAACCAAAAAAAATCTTAAGATTTCCAAGAAATAGAAGAGTGCCTCATATAGGTCTGAAGGAAGATTTTAAAACCATAGTTGCACTTAAAATGGTCTTGAATTCTCAAAAATAAATTTAAATTCTTAAATTCTCAATTTTTTATTTTTTTTTTTAAATGAGAACTGACTTGGGGGGGGCGGGTCCTAAGGTGTGACTGTGCTCCATGTAACTTCAAAATAGGAAAAAAAAATATTTTGTTTTACATGTTCAACCACAGAGCTCCACAGATCCTGGTGTATCATCACATTGGAGACAAACCGGTCACCTGGGGGTGCCTAAGCCTCAAGAAAAGCGTGTTTGCAGCTACTGCTATACTGTGTTTTCATCTTACCCCCATTACTGAAGCCTCTCTCCTAAATCAGTTGCTGTATAACTGACCTTTGTGCAACAAGAGAAACACACGATGTTTTATGCCAGCATGTATTTAAAAAAAAACAAAAACAAACAGTAAGATAAAAACTGGTCTGGGTCTGCAAATGCCAAAATGATTACAATCAGTTTCCATTGCAGAAATAAAAGTTTTACCCCCACCTCCTTCCTTTACAAAGCACTCAGCTCCAACCCTCTAGAAGCTTCACCATGCATTTATAGAGACAGCTTTGGCAATTACAGAACTAAAAAAAAACACACACAGAAGATGCTAAAAATATCCGTGCCACACACAGATCTACAGTTTTGTCCTTGTTATTGCCTAGAAGGGATCACAGGGCGCTTCTGCAATCCTGGAAACCTGGGCAGGGAGGGAAAGCAGCTCGTCTTAACTGCTGCGGAGAATGCGCGACGAGGTCAAACCGTGCAAGCACTGCTTGGCATTTCTCCTGCCACCAGCCCGGGTCGGAACAGTACCGAGGCAAAGCAGATCACCTACAAAATACTTTCCTGCTCTCCCCTGGATAAATGTTTCCTCAGATACTAAAAATATTGGCGGTAGATGAATCCACGTCCATTGGGTATGGATGAGGGCAGCTTGTGGAGGCAGGCAAGGAGGCTGCAGCGAAGCACGCAAGGAGGAGACAAACTGCAGAGCCCGTCAGGTCTGGAAAGGAGGCATGCACCAGCGGGTCTGATTTATGGCTCCAGTTAGGGAACACATAGTGTAGCTTCATTTTCAGATGGGTATTTCTACTCATTAATTAATGAGATGAAGCTATTATTCATTGGTGGGAACTTGAACATTTTATTTTTATCCCCGTCCGTACCGAAGTGCTCCGAAGAGTTGTTTAAGTTACTTTAAAAATATATCCAAGGATACTTTATGTGGTAGCTGGGCTTGCAGGATTTAAACATGTTGGAAATAGCGAAACAAAGACAAGATGGCTTCGGTAACAGAGAAACACGCGAGGATAAAAAAATACAGAAAAGATGAAGAAGCAAAATGAACTAGAACAACCACCGAGGCAAAACCAAATTAGACAAGGGCAGCGAAGTACAGCTTTAGTCCTCCCTCCTCCCCCTTTCGAAAAAAATAAGGACAGATAATGAACGAAACAGAAGGCTGAAGCATTCAGCGAGCTCTTAGCTTGTTTCCAACAGAAAACTGTAAGCAGCCTTCCCATAATTAACTCTGATGAGTTTTAAAAAGCAGAGCAGAACTAGAAAAGAGGTGATTTAAATGGTTTTTCACATATTCAGATCTTTAGACCTGATGCAAATCGCCCCAGTCTACTTGAACTCCCCAAGCAAAGCGATGAACAGCCAACAGTTGACTTGACAGGACACACAGAGCATGGGGTCCTGAAGAGCCACACAAAGTAAAACTTGAAGGGAAGAAGGGGAGAAAGGCAGGAGGAGGAGGTGCAGTGAATGGGCATTATTTCTTTCCTGCAGAAATAAAGGAAGGATCTAAGACACAGCACAGAAATAAGGTAACAGGAAAAGCAATGTGGATGGATGAAGGTGAAATTGAAGGCAAGCAACCGATTTGTTTCTTTGGCAATATATCTGCCCAGCAAAGTGTTGGATTTTTATTTATTTTTTTTAATTATTGTTGTTTTTAATTATTTAATTATAATTTAAAAAAAAAAAAACAAAAAAAAAAACAAAAAAAAAAAACATTGAAAGGTTTCAAGGGGCACATAGTAAGAAAGTCAGGTCTGCATGAACCACCCTACACCAAGCACACACCTGGTTAAAAAGCCCACTCAGTCACCACCTGCTTTTAGATCCATTATACCCAGCATACTGCAGGAGCTCACAATTTACTGATAAAGCTTTAAATATCATTTAATCCTCAGCTGTGACCCCACACCAGAGAGGTCACACTCTGGAGCAAGAGAAGCGGAATTCAGTGACAGGTTGGCAAATGGACACAAAGGTCAATCACAAATGAGTAGATCCCTCCTGCCTAAATAATAACAGTAACGATAGCTAAAAGTACAATCACAAGACAGAAATACCCAGCAAAGCAAGAAGAAAAGGGAAGCCGAAGCACTTTGCAATCCACCGTTTGGCACTGCTGCAGAAGACAAGTTCATTCCAGGATGCATTAGCAGGCACATATGCAAGACACGGGAGGTAATTACTCAGGGATGTGACAGCCTCCTTGGCCAAAGCGCTGCCC